TTTTACTTTCTTTTTGCTTTTTCTTTCTTCATTTTGAGTGTTTATAAAAAAATTCACGGATAATGTAAAAAATTATTATACTCTCTTCGTCCTAATTCTTTTTTCTAACTTCTATATGTGTGTGTGTGTGTGTGTGTATGTATATTTGTAAAAGAAATAAATATTACAATATAAAGTTTGATAATCTGGATATATTAAAATCACATCTTAAATTTTATCTAATTTTTTTAACCAAGCCAAATTATATTAATCACCAAACCACAAGAGCTTACATGCAAGACAATGAGAGAATCCCACGACAATTAAGGGCATGTTTGGGAATAACATTTTCAATTAGCATTAGCGTTTTGGATAAAGTTTTAACTGTGAAAATTAACTTTGAAAACGCTAACACTAAACGGTGCCCGTAGATAATATTTTTCAAAACGCTAACGCAATTTTCAAGTAAGTCCTAAATCAACAAACACCCAAACTTGCTAGCCTTCCAACTAATAAAAACATTAACATCGAATTTTTAATGGTAGAATTTATTTTTAAGGAAAATTCTATGGTTAATCTAAGGTCTACCATAACCTACATATAAGTAAAATAATCATTTTCTTACTACTTAAATAAGCATCTATCTTTTTAATAAAAAATTAAAAAAAGAGTTTTTTTATGTAAGAAGGTCCATGAAAATAGTAATAACACTCTTATTTTAATTAGAAATATTTGCACTAAATAACACTAAAACTTAAGTCATTTCTCTAAATAGCACTTAAATTGTTTTATTCCTTAAATAGCACTTAATAATGTCCATAATCTCCTGTGATGAGGAATATTTGCCTGAATAATGACTAATGCATAATGACTAAAAATGTTATATTGGAAAGAAAAACACATATGATGTTATTTAGAGAAAGTCATTATATTTTAGTGCTATATATATATATATATATATATATATATATATATATATATATATATATATATATATATGTAAAATCCTCTTTTAATTATACTAAACTTACATTATACAAAGTGGGCTAGGTGACCAAGTCGGCACGACCATGCCGCAAGGTGTAGACTAGTTGACCAAGTGGGCGAATAATTAATAATTTTTAAAATGGAAATATAGTTCTCCATTTTAGTACGATGGAGTATTAATTTTAATAATCGTTATAGTTTATTCTTGAAATGATTTCAGGAGTGAAATCCACGAAGTTCACCATTGTTAACAATTGTCCGTACACAATTTGGCCTACTACTCTTACCGGAGGAGGCGGTAGTTCTCAAGCCTCGACTGGGTTCGAACTGGCACATGGTGCATCCACGTCATTTGACATCCCCGCCCAATGGACAGGTCGCTTTTGGGCAAGAACAGAGTGTAGCACCCAAACCGGCAAGTTCTTATGCGCGACCGCCGACTGCGGCTCTAGTCAAGTGGCGTGCAACGGTGCTGGAGCGATTCCTCCGGCGACTCTAGTAGAATTCACATTGGGGGTTTCCAAGGCAAGGATTTCTACGACGTCAGCTTGGTGGACGGATTCAACCTCCCCGTCTCTGTCGTGCCGGACAACCCAAACTGTCATCGGACGGATTGCCCGGTGGACGTGAACGCGAAGTGCCCAACGGAGCTGGCATTGAGAGATGGAAACGGGGCGGTGGTGGGATGCAAAAGCGCATGTTTGGCACTGGGGCAACCGCAATACTGTTGCACGGGGGATCATGGGTCGCCACAAACATGCCCGCCCACCCAATATTCTTTATTTTTCAAAGGATTGTGTCCCAATGCGTATAGTTATGCCTATGATGACAAGACAAGCACTTTCACGTGCAACACTGGTCAAGCCAATTACGTCATAACCTTCTGCCCTTAGAACATATATAAATCGTATTGAGATTTTATTTATTTGAGATTAAATGTCTTTTAATTTTTTTCTTGGTGTGCAAAACTTTAATTTGTAGTGCCATGTATTGTTTCTCATCACCAGACCCCTGAGATCACAAAAATAAACTTCTATTTCTTTTGAAAAATGTTTTTCCCAAATTTCTTTTTTTAACTAGAAAAGAAATACTCATTACCTAGTATAACATTTAGAATATAATAACTACAACATTCACTTTCCTCATATATTATACCACATCCATCTAATGTAATGAAAACCAGACCGCACCAGCCAGACAAATCGATTGGACCGCGACCCCTAGAAGTATCAGGCTCGATTCAATGCTCAAAATCATTTTTAGAAAATCCCGTCCAAACCTGGCGGAATCGGTGAGTCGGGTTGACTCGGACAGTCCACAGGTTTGGATTAAAAGCTTATAAAACTATTAACTTTTATTTAAAAAAATATAACTTTTAGTAATAGGTTTCAGCTACCTAAGCCATTACTAGGTTTGTTAAAATTATCATACAGTATGATATGTGTGTGTGTGGGTGTGTGTGTGTGTGTGTATATATATATATATATATAGTATATGTTTACTGTTTACATTTCAAATTTGTTAAACACAAAAAACTTTAATTTTTTAAAGCACTATGAAAACATGATTTTAAAAAATAAAACTGTTACAGCATAAAAAACTTTTTCTGGGCAACAACCAAAATCTTGAGTTTTCGGTTGATTTCGTTTCTTTACATGGTATCAGATCCTTGTTGACTTAAAAGGTATCGGCCGCAGGTTCCAAACTTAATGTCACCCAGTTTAAAAAAATATAAGGTTTTACGTACCAGACTTGAAAAGACTACGTCGGCACGTGAGGGGCGTATTAGAGCATAAAAAAGCTTTCCTGGGCCACAACCAAAAGCTTGAGCTTTTGGTTGATTTGGTTCACTTACAAAATAAGAAAAATGAACGAAACAATTTAGAACGAGCATGTAACGTTTCAAAACCACAAGGATATATATTAGCCAGTTTGATATTATGAGGAGCAAATTTCACTTCTATGTTTTCATTCATTCATTTCAGAAATGAGCGAGAAAATAATATACTCCATACTATTTTTAGAGTTACATTTCATATAAAAAGATAATGAATTTTGAAAACCAGTCATTTTTCAAAGGTACATCATTTCTTGAAATTATTTTTACACTTTCCATACCGATTCTAAAAAGAGATGTAAAAGCTTAAAAAAATTGTTTAAAAGAATAGAAATGAAGTTGATTTTTTTACATGTAAGAATTTAGAAATTTTTTAAAATTATGTATTAAGAGCCCGTTTTTTGGGCTTGAACTCTTAACTTCCAGTTTCTTCCAGTTCCTTCCAATTTTTTCCAGTTTCTTCCCGTTCCTTCCAGTTTCTTCCAGTTCCTTCCAGTTTTTCCAACTTTTTTCGTTTTCTTCAAATTCTTTCTACTCCTCAACCAATTACTCTAAAAATGATATATTTCAATGTGATTATTATTATTATTATTATTATTATTATTATTATTATTATTATTATTATTATTATTATTATTATTATTACTCCCTCCGTCCGGAAAAAATCTTTCCGTTTGGACTTTTTTCATTTTTTTGAATGGTTGACTTTGGAAGGGATATGTCTAATATACCCTTCATTTCTTACTTGTTTTACACTTACAGCCCCAACACTGCCGAGGCTAGCACCCACCGCCCCCCATCATTGCCGGCGATTGACCCACCCCCAATCATCGCCGGCGATGGACCCACCCCCAATCATCGCCGGCAATTGACCTCGCCCCCACCACTCTCGCCTTAACCCTTAACAGCATCGCCCCTCAACCCTCACCACTTTCGCACCATCGTCTATAGCCGCCACCATCTCTACCTCTTGGAGACAGAGAAAAGGGAACAGATGTAGATCTGCGAGAAAGGACAGAGAAGAATTGGAAAAAGAGAAGAAGAAGAACCGTAGATCTGTGAGAGAGGGAAGAGAAGAATTGGAAAAAGAGAAGAAGAAG